CCATAGTTTTTGTAGAATAGGTAGCGCAAATGCAGCCGTTTTTCCTGAGCCCGTAGCAGCGACTCCAATGATATCCCGGCCCTCTAGAGCATGTGGTAGAGTCTCGGTTTGGATTTCGGTGGGTGTTTTGTAGTTGAGTTGCTCGACTGCCTCGAGGAGCGGATCTATGAGACCAAGGGACTTGAAAGTGGCTGGAGGCGCTGGAGAAGATGATGTGCTTGCTTCATCTGGCGACGGCATTGAGGCTGGAGATGCTTATGTCCAGTGAAGAGAAGACTCTTCAGAATTTTTGATATCTCATTTTCCCACGGCCAGTGTAATGACGATTGACATCAATTGGCAGAGTGCAGCTGGCTTTGACCTCAGGCATAATGGCAGAAAACCGCGCCATTGTGTCGTACACGACAGCTCCTTCCTTCCTGTTGACCGGAGCATGGAAACAAATCCAGGTGGCTCTTAAGGCCCAGTTCCCTCTCCGCAACATCCACTGGAAACCACTTTCTCGGTCGTCTATTCTGACGATCCAAGAACTCGATGTCAAGTTTGTGCCGTTTGAAAGCGTACGAGATGAACACGTCTCTCAAATACCCATGACATTACTGGAGAAACCATTGCTACATATCTATGTCATCACTTGCGAGGTATGACCTTCGAAATTTCGGCATAATAGATTCACTTATTGAGATGAATCATAGCCAGGGGACCTGGAGACGTACAAGAGCACCGTGAAGAAGCAAGTTAAGGAGTGGCATAATTCAGTGCTTTCTCGCAAGAACCAAGAGTGGCTCATCCTACATCTCGTGAAAGGCGATACGCCTGCTCTCAGCGGGGGGAGGCTCTTCCAACTCAAAGGATCTGTCTTGGACAAACTCAAGACTGACTTCAACCAAGATAAACGCGATCGGTGCGTGGACATATTCTCATATTCGAGCATATAAGTTAATGAGAGATTTCAGGTGCATACAGGTTACCTGGTCGACTGCGAACGACAGTCCGCTGGCATGGGGCGAGTTCGGAAATAAAGTAAAGGACAGCCTCATGACCGCGTTTGACATTGCTGTTTGTCAAAGAGAGGAGGAGGTCCGACGGTCGGAGAGTCAACAACAAATGCCGGGTTGGAATTTCTGCACATTCTTCATTCTCAAAGTAGGTTTCCTGGCCAATGTGAAGCGCTCGAGACTTACTAATAGTAGGAAAGTCTGGCAAGCTCTTTCGAAGGAATGAACCTTCTTGAAGACGCATTGTTGCAATTTGACGAACTGGAGGAATCATTCAATCACATTTGGAGAGAGAAGAATTTCTCGTGGTTTGGGACACTCATCAACGCTGGTCCTGATGATGACACACTACCCCTGCTGTCGGTCACCAAGAAACCCTATCGCGACCTTATACTCGCAAACACAATTTCCGTGTTCGACTTTAGAACGTTCCTTCTCGCCCGCCGGTGCGAGCTTTTGGCAAAGTTGGGACGCATCAGCGACATTGCCGTCAACGCATCCAATTTTCTTATGAGGTTCAGTCAGCGCCTCCGCACAATAACTGTACGTATGTGGTTCCGCTAATTTTCCCCCCTGCTCACCCATGTCTCCAGGTCACTCTGCCCCTATTCTTTATTGAATCCTGGATCTACTCCTCTTCCCTGAGCATCATACAACAGTATGATGTTTGGTTCCCACCTTTAGTTGATGGCAGTAGACCGAAATCGTTATATGCAAGCAAAGGAGAACTGTATGAGCTCGCTCGACATCAGGTGAGGTTCATCCTGCAAAGTGCTATTTTTCAATATATCTCACGGAGCGTCCGCAGCTCGATGTAATCGGTGTCCACGCTGGACATCTACCAGAGAAGCCACCGTTTTCCATGGGTTCACCATCCCAGTCAAATTCTTCCAAGGCCAATTCACGGACATCGATTAGCAACAAGGAACTCCTTGAAGCTGTTCGCGATCGCGAAACTTTTTACAAGGTCTACACCGACGTAACAAACCGCTCCATTTCTATGTATACCAAAGCTGGTCGACGAAAATCTGCTCTCAAGCTTCACGGAAGTCTAGCTGCCCTTGATTTGTACGCCCCCTTTCGGTTGCGGGAAACCTTATCTAACAACAAACGGTTCTACAGACATCGTGGCCACTACACCCCGGCACTTACAACCTATTATTCTCTGCCTGCACATTATGCCCCACATACATGGACCGCACTCGAATCATACATGCTCGCGCGCGCACTGGATACGCACGCTGAGATGGAGCAGCCAAAGGATAACGAGTGGCTGCACAATCTTCTGTCATATCTTAGGAGCTTCATTGAGCACCAGGGTAGTGAGCTCCTTATACACGAGGACGATAAGATCGAGTATATTTCTAAGCTGGTATCTTCCTTGACGGAAGCTGCGCACAATCTCGAGTCAGGTATGTCCAAAGAGAGCCGAGCGTCGAGCATAATCTGAAATGATACAGAGATTGTTCTACCCAAACACCAGATTCTCTCTCTTGAGATAACACCTGACGCTGAACTCGCGGAGACCCAGGATGGGATCTACATCGATTTACGCGTTATGAATAAACTACCCTGTGTAAGCATCGTTGTGCAATAGGGGACCCGTCCTGACTAACAACTTGACCCCAGAACCTGTCAATCGATGACACCACAGTGACGGTTACTGGTCGTGAACCTGAGAAGTACAAATTTACAGCGCCCGCGTCTGATCTCGTTCGTGGAAAGAATGCACTACGACTCTTCTGTCCTGTAAGAATTATTCTACTAATCCTAAGTTGCAACATGTACTGAATCCCACTCAGGCTATCGCGATGGGTAAATACCTGATTCAAACCACCGACATTCGCATTGGAAATCTCGTATTCCATTGGGACCACCGACGAACTCACGCCAAAATGTCGACATCGAGCAAACGCTCAAACGCGATCATTCGTGTACCCCAAGATACCCGTGCACTGGATGTTAGGGTCGATCAGTCAACTCGAAGTAAGTATTTATTGACATCTCTCTCAACACGTTGCTGATACATGGTTCAGTCGAGCTCGGCAAGTCCCCAAGGATATCGATCACGATTTCCACGGGACGAAACAATATCGATCGCCTGAAATTGCGCCTAGTTTGTCCAAACATGACCTGGAAATATGCTGAAGCTAGTTCCGAGGGTATGTCACACTCCGACACATCTGGCTCAGTGAAGACTGACTCGGCCTACATCTCACCTAAGGCGAAGACGTCGAACTAGAAGCTGTTGATGACGGGCTCGTATTACGCAACCTCGAAGAAGATAATGAGCGTTCCCTCACCCTTCCTCATTCTGACTCCTCTATAGTGCACGATCTGGTACGCCCTAATCTTGTACCATCAGCACTTAGGCGCTGATCTTGGAAAACCGACAGAGAATCAATATTGAAGCGGAATATGTGACAAAAGAGCAACCGTCGCTGGAACGCAAACTCTTCTTGACTCGGGTATTGTTCACAACTTTGCCTATATCAGTCAATGTCCAAGACTTCTTCAGAGGTTCAAGGTCAAACAACAAGCAACGATCACCTTATGCGTTATCTAATACTTTGCCATAGGTTGATATCGAGGTTTACCGTGTCCACGACGAGTCACCAACACATACGTATTGCATCTGCAGAACTCGAAACGCCACCAAATGGCATTGATGGCGTTACGATCGCTTCACCCTCGCCGAATTCGAAGATAGTTGTGAGTAACACCTACCACCGCCGACAATTCGTGGGTTAACTGGAGCAGACCGTGACGCCGATGCAACCCGCAAATTTCCTCTTTTCCATCGATTCTTCCGCAGGTCCTGGTATGTAACACTTGCATTCGTACACTATCGAGTCACTCATCTCCTTTTAGTGCAGGAATCCCTGACGCTCGTGATAAGGTACCGCCTCCTACGCGCCGGTATGTGGTACCTGGTGTTGATATTCTCGTCTTTGACATTTCCAGTAGAGGTGAAAGACCTTGTGGAACAAGAAGTTGAAGCTGTTTTGGGCGAGAATGAGTCAAAGCATTTATATGCCCCTTTGGTCAACCATCTTGTCGAAGCACTTGGCAATGATGCTTCTTGGGTTGAACTATATGGAGTGACGGGCGAACTTATTGTTCCCGAAATGCCACAAGATGCAGAATTCGGAGAAAGACTAGACGCTGTGAAAGAGGCGAGTCACCCTTCTTTTCAAAATGTATATCTGAATTACCAAGACGGAACCCTGTTCAGGCATTGAAACGGCATCAACATCCTGACAGCATGAACGGCAAGTGGCGAGAGATTAGGATACCAGTTGATGTACCCCAGATGCACGTACGTCTACCGGATTCTGACACTTCGTAATTTACCTGATCGTCTCTCCATTCTTATTTCTATATTCGTAGATCGTAGCAGCTGCGCGCATCAACATCCTGGCAACGCCATTTGGTAGCGTCTCGGCTATAGGATCGTCCTCTCTATATGCAGGACAACCCATATCTGCAGAGCTCAGGATCGATACCTCTTTCCATTGGGGCCCAAGTGCGAACGATCAAGATCAGGAATTCGTCATGCGATACAACGTAGAAGAAATAATCCGTGATTGGCTCGTCAGCGGTCCCAAGCGGGGCGAGTTTGTTGCGAAGGCGTGTTTCGTGTATTCGATGGAATGCAAGCTGAGCTGACTTGGTTCCTTTAGGATAACGGCTCGTTCACAACACAGATCACATTGCTGGCGCTACATCATGGGGAACTGGCACTGCCCAAGATCCATGTCTTGGCACTTCCGGTCACTGGGGAGACAGCAATGAGCTCCATGGCTGTACCGTCGACCGAAGTCTTTCAAGTTCATGGTGCTGAAAGGATATTGATACTCCCTCGTGGAGGTAGAAGTACATTTGTAGTAGGAATGGGTTCAACGTGATTTAACAACGGCTTTTAATTTCCTGGTACCTTAACGTATAAGGGGGACCTTTCCGGCCATTCCCGAAGCAAAACTGAATATAAAACAAAAGAACCTGCCCCAGTGAGGCTCGAACTCACGACCTTCCGATTGCTAAGGTATAACCTCGAAAGTTATAACAGTCGGACGCTGTAACCAACTCAGCCATGGGGCACATGTTTTGCAAAGAGACTGATACTATGATGTGTCTCTGTTTGGCAATCCACTTTCTGGTCAGCCGACAGGTAGGTTTTGTAAATGGGGCTTGGCAATGCAGACATTGGACTAAGACTTAAAAAAAACTGCATTTATGAGAGCCCCCAATATTTTATTTGCAATATATTTGCTGAGGGAGCTGGTGGGGGTCTCTGCGCGGGTAACTGGCTCAGATACATAAATGTCACGGAGAAACATACCCCTAAGTCACTTTGCCGGAGTGGTTAACGGGATCGCCTGCTACCATAGTAGCTGCCAGCGGTTGGTCTTTGACCGCGAGTGTTCGAATCGCTCAGGTGACGTCATTTTTGCATCGCAAGAACTGTTGTTGTAGATTATTCTTTTCAATATGTCGACAGCAACATCATCTACTAACATGGACTCGAGGCGTTATTTTTCTCCTCATTCACCTCTGGTTGAGTGCCAGCTCTCAAACAGCCAACTACGCAATCAATTTAAACCAATGTTCAGTCTACAGTTGGGTAGAATGCTTTCGACGATGATGTCGAGGGAACAGTGGCCATCCAATGATGCAAAAAATGACGTCACCTGAGCGATTCGAACACTCGCGGTCAAAGACCAACCGCTG